TGTGAAGTGGACATTGGTGAATTTTATAGAACTGTCAGGAAACAGAGGAAGACTAATGTAACATGTACATCTCTACAGTATAAAGACAAGACGGCCAGCACACCCGAGGACATCTGCAATATGTGGACTGATTACTACGGAGATCTGCTGTCTCCTCTCGGTAGGCCTGAGTTTGAAACGGACTTTTATGAGGAAACAAAATCAAAGCTTTGTGATATAGCAAACAGTAACATATCTGAGAACGATCCAATCCTGGCGACAAGTATTACATCTAATGAAGTGAAATCAACCATTAAGAGGCTGAAAAAGAATAAGTCTCCTGGACCAGACTGTATTACTGTAGAACACCTCTGTAATGCTGACAATCTTCTGTTTAAACATCTGGCACACCTCTACAATATGATGATCAGTACTTGTTACACGCCTGTCATGGTGAGAACTGGAACTATTATTCCCATCTACAAAGGGAATAATAAAGATAAATGCAACCCAGCTAATTATCGCGGTATCACTCTAACATCCGTGATTGCGAAGGTATTTGAGAGGCTGTTGCTAGACAGACTGGAGTCCTACATCAAATCTATTAATCCTGATTTCCCACATTGTCTCCAGTGCGGCTTCCGGAAAGAGCATGGCGCCAGTGTGGCTACATATGTGTTAAAAGAGGCTATTTCCTATTATCAAGATAGACACTCAAATATATATGTTGCCTTTCTGGATAACGAAAAGGCCTTCGACAGGATATGGCATGAGGGGCTGCTACTGAAACTATACAATCTTGGTGTGAAAGGCCGTGCATGGCACATTATCCGTCAATCTTACCAAGAAGCAAGTGCTTGTGTTAAATACAATGGGAGCACAGGTGATTTGTTCAATGTTCAACAAGGAGTAGGACAAGGTCGTGCGCTCTCAGCATGGATGTTTCTAGTCTATATTAATGACCTGATATCTCAGCTTGATAATCTACAATGTGGACTAATTGTTGGTAAGGAGCACATCCCAACGGTAGTACTGGCTGATGACACTACTGTTGTGAGTACGAGTGTACATGGACTGAATATGTCTCTTGATACTATCCACCAGTATGCTCGGCGCTGGAGACTGACATATAACGCCAATAAGAGCTGTGTCTTGTCTTTTTGCAATAACAGAAGACATTGTAATAGACCTGTGTTCAGAATTGGAGATGTGACAATGAAGATCCAAAGCAGTACGATTTATGCCGGCTCTCTGATACACACGGAAAAAGCAAGTGAACGAACTACTAGGGCTTGTGCTAAGGCGCGACAGACAATCAACTCCTCAAGAAATGTCGGTCTTAGAGCTGGAGGATTGAGCCCAGTATCTTAATCGAATATCTGGCAACAAGTGATCTTCCCCACTGCCTTCTATGCATGTGAGCTCTGGCCTAATATCAACAAACGTGAGATCAGTGAGATGGAAACCCTACAGCGCTACTTTGCACGACGAGTCAAAAACCTTCACAGGAGATCCTCTACAGCTGCTACAACCCAGGTTCTAGGATTGTGGGCAATGCTGGGCAAGGTGGAGAAAATGAAGCTTCTCTTTCTGGGACGACTCTGTAGAGCAGCAGGCACAACCATTGTGAAGCCGATTTTCTATCTCAGACTATCCCAGTATGTCACCACGATCTCACACAGTGCCAGATCCATAACACATGATCTACTGAATGTGGCTCAAAAGTATGGATTCTCAGGCGTCTTAGATAAACTAATCAACTCTGGGGAATTTCCATCTGGACTGTGTCTTATCTGTAACTCTGAATGTGATGACATTGTTAAGCACCAATTGCTTTACTGTGATGGCCTAATGAAACAGAGAAATGTGCTTAGTGAGTCTCTATTTGACAATGTTAGCCTTGAAACATATCTCAGACTTGAGGACACGTCTAGTGATGCCGTCAAGATTCTGACATACCTCGGTGCTATTACAGATGTGGTCCAAGACATGACACTTGACAGCTGGGCAACATTCATGAGTATCGTGGCTAAACATGTCAGCTCATGGAACTTAACATCCATATTGTATTTGTGAAGCTATGTCACGCATCATGTAAATATAGTTTCACGCATCACTTCATTACTGCCTACCCAGCTCAATCTGTTGTACTTACATATATTTTGTCATTGCCGTTGTCAAATGTAATGTAATTGTATGTGGTGGTGGTGAAATTGGGTTTAACGTCGCGTCCAAGATTATTGCACTTATATAGCGACGTTGTAATTGTATGTACTACTCTCTAAATCATTGGGGGAAATAAAGAGTATTCATTCATTCATTCATTCATTCATTCATTCATGACTATGTTACAGGTCGATGTACAGGGATGTAAACGTCCCCAGTACAGTCCCTAGGGACCACACATGACTATGTTGCAGGTCGATGTGCAGTGATGTAAACGTCCCCACTACAGTCCCCAGGGGTTACACATGACTATGTTGCAGGTCGATGTACAGTGATGTAAACGTCCCAAGTACAGTCCCTAGGGTTACAGGTGACTATGTTACAGGTCGATGTACAGTGATGTAAACGTCCCCAGTACAGTCCCTAGAGTTACACATGACTATGTTGCAGTGCGATGTACAGTGATGTCACCGTCCCCAGTACAGTCCCTAGGGACCACACATGACTATGTGACAGTGCGATGTACAGTGATTTAAACGTCCCCAGTACAGTCCCTAGGGACCAGACATAACTATGTTACAGTGCGATGTACAGTGATGTAAATGTTCCCACCACAGTCCCTAGGGTGACACATGACTATGTTAGAGGTCGATGTACAGTGTAGTAAACGTCCCCAGTACAGTCCCTAGGGACCAGACATAACTATGTTACAAATCGATGTACAGTGATGTAAACGTCCCCAGTACAGTCTCTAGGGTTACACATGACTATTTTGCAGGTCGATGTACAGTGATGTAAACGTCCACAGTACAGTCCCTAGAGTTACACATAACTATGTTGCAGTGCGATGTAAAGTGATGTCACCGTCCCCAGTACAGTCCCTAGGGACCACACATGACTATGTGACAGTGCGATGTACAGTGATGTAAAAGTCCCCAGTACAGTCCCTAGGGACCAGACATAACTATGTTACAGTGCGATGTACAGTGATGTAAATGTCCCCAGTACAGTCCCTAGGGACCAGACATAACTATGTTACAGGTCGATGTACAGTGATGTAAACGTCCCCAGTACAGTCACTAGGGTTACACATGACTATGTTACAAGTCGATGTACAGTGATTTAAACGTCCCCAGTACAGTCCCTAGGGACCACACATGACTATGTTACAGTGCGATGTACAGTGAGGTAAACGTCACCAGTACAGTCCCCAGGGACCAGACATAACTATGTTACAGTGCGATGTGCAGTCATGTAAACGTCACCAGTACAGTCCCCAGGGACCAGACATAACTATGTTACAGTGCGATGTGCAGTGATGTAAACGTCCCCAAAACAGTCCTTAGGGTTACACATGACTATGTTACAGGTCGATGTACAGTGATGTAAACGTCCCAAGTACAGTCCCTAGGGTTACTCATGACTATGTTACAAGTCGATGTACAGTGATGTAAACGTCCCCAGTACAGTCCCTAGAGTTACACATGACTATGTTACAAGTCGATGTACAGTGATGTAAACGTCCCCAGTACAGTCCCTAGAGTTACACATGACTATGTTACAGGTCGATGTACAGTGATGTAAACGTCCCCCGTACAGTCCCTAGGGACCATATATGACTATGTTACAAGTCGATGTACAGTGATGTAAACGTCCCCAGTACAGTCCCTAGAGTTACACATAACTAGGTTACAGTGCGATGTACAGTGATGTAAACGTGCCCCAGTACAGTCCCTAGGGACCACAAATGACTATGTTACTGTGCGATGTACAGTGATATCAACGTCCTCAATACGGTCTCTGGAGATCACACATTGATGTGTTACATGGCGATGTACAGTTATGTAAATGTTCCCGGCACGGGCCCTAGGGATCAGACATGGAAGTGTTACAGGGCGATGTACAGTGATGTAAACGTCCCCAGCACGGTTCCTAGGAATCACACATGGATGTGTTACAGGGCGATGTACAGTGATGTGAACGTCCCAAGCACGGTTCCTAGGGATCACACATGGGTGTGTTACAGGTCGATGTACAGTTATGTAAACGTCCTCAGCACGGTCTCTAGCGATCATACATGGGTGTGTTACAGGGCGATGTACAGTTATGTAAACGTCCTCAGCACGGTCTCTAGCGATCATACATGGGTGTGTTACAGGGCGATGTACAGTTATGTACGTCCCCAGCACGGTTCCTAGGAATCACACATGGATGTGTTACAGGGCGATGTACAGTGATGTAAACGTCCCAAGCACGGTTCCTAGGGATCACACATGGGTGTGTTACAGGGCGATGTACAGTTATGTAAACGTCCCCAGCACGGTCCCCTTGGGATCACACATGGCTGTGTTACAGGGCGATGTACAGTTATGTAAACGTCCTCAGCAGGGTTCCTAGGGGTCAGACATGGGTGTGTTACAGGACGATGTACAGTTATATAAACCTCCACAGCTAGGGATCACACATGAATGTGTTTCAGGTCGATGTATAGTGATGTAAACGACCCCAGCACGGTCCCTAGGGATCACAAGTGATGTTACAGTTCTCGAGAAATGTTTGTATGTTGCAATTAACTTACTTCAACAAATGACAGATATGCAGATTATTACTTTCTATAAAATCTTACTTGTTTTCAGCACCAACTGTATGGACAATTGTCTCTTCAATGTTAAAGCTACCGATGGTAAAACTAGCAACTTCATACACTATGAAACTAACTTTATTTCTTGTCAAGTCGAACTCGTGAAAACACCCATATCCCCAAAAGGGATGGCCATGTTTCTTCTCATTCAGACCGATCAATGCAAACTGTGTTAAAACTGGCAACGATTCAACATGTACAATATGAAACTAACTTTACAGTGTGGAAAGAAGGAGTTTCCCACAATGGATGCCTCGTCGTTCCTCGTCCATGTCACCATCCAGTTCCTGTTGGAGTCCCGAAACCAGATGTCCTTCGTTAAGGTAGAGATGTCTGGGTAGATGTAAACCTCAGCAAAGTAAAGGAAAGTATCTATCCCAACCTGTTGAGAAAACAGTTTAATTTACTAAATGCGTCATCTTAAACAAAACACCTCCAAATATGTTTTTCCTACTAAACTCTTTCTCCGCTGAAGACCAAAATACATCGTAGATACATTTAATATGTAATAATCTCGAACTATTTCGCAACACAGAGGTAATAAGTGACGTGGCATGGGCTAAGTCTAATATTTACAATAGGCTGAATGGTCAACTTTAGGGATCAGTAAGATTTAATTCGAGAATGTTTGGTTGTGTTTACTCAAAACATAATTAACACCATAATACTAAAATGTTTTCACTAAGAGACACTAGAACTATCTACCACACACACTGTGTAAACATTTTTCAAAACGACCCTTGCAGCTTGTACACACCAACCTCGTGTTATGAAGCGATAGACATGACGTCACAGGACGTTATAAATAAGCGCTAACTTAATGTCAAACTTTGTTAATGTAACGGAACTTAACACACCCTCTCTTAGACATTCTTCGTCGGGTTTCCCATCTGAAAACATATTGCCACATTTGCTATAAATAATCTGGGTCACGAACACAGTGTTCTACACATACCGCAATGGAATGCAAATGGACTGGCCCCTACGGCCACGAACTAAAAACCAAATTTAGGAAAAACCCAGGTCCTCATGTCATATGTGTTCATGATCAGGAGACCCACTTCTCCCTAAAATCAAAATTCGCCCTGCCTAATTATAACTCGGTAAGACACGACAGAGTCAAATCTCGCCCAGGGAGCGCAGGCGGTTGCCTGATCAAATACGTCAGAGAGGACATAAACTATAAGGAAATACCAATAAAAAAACAAAATCTGAATGGTATACAAATAGCTCATCAAAATAGAAAAATAAACATCGTAAACATACACCACTGGGCACTGAAACAAATTAAACCTGAAAACATAGAAACCTTGAATCAAATAGGTAAAAAATCCACCATCTTCTTGTGGGACTTCAACGCCCACCACCCTTCCTGGGGTGTTAAAGATAAAACAGACCAACACGGCAAACTCATCGCTGACTGGATCGAATAAAAACACCTAATGCTACTAAATGACAACCAACAAACTAGATATGATAAAATTAATCAAAATATATCAGCTATTGACCTACAATCTGCACGCCTGATCTCGCCCAAAGCACTTTGTGGGAAGTGAAAGAGGAGCCACTCGGCAGTGACCACTTTCCAATAAATATAACGTTAAGAAACATAAAAATCCAAACCCAAAATGAACCCCAAGAACCAAAATTCCATTACAACAAAGCCGACTGGGACAAATTCAAAACATTATGTAAACAGGTTAACCCAGCGGACCTCGATAATAAAGACCCCGAAAAATACTGCTAAAACTTTACAGAATGCATAATAAACATAGCTAAAACATAATCCCCTTCAGGACACCAAAAATAGGCAAACCCACGGTACCCTGGTGGACAGAGGAAATTAAAAAGACGAGAGAAAAACGCAAAAGCGCATTTAACAAAGCTAAACGAGACCACACACATCTAAAGATAACCCATCAACTAAATCACCAAGTACAAAACCTCGTCAAAACAGCAAAAAAAAAAAAAAAAACTGGAAAAACTTATGCGACGAAGTAAACCAGCACATAGACACAAGGACAGTATGGCGCAAAATACACGCAGCCCGAGGAATTAAACGAACCAAAAAAACACCGAACATAAATAACTCAACAAACCCTAAACAAAAAACAAATAACCTAGCAAACCATTTCTCAGCCATTAGTAGCAATAGTAACTTCTCTGAGAAATTCCAAAAACACTTAAAAAATGAAAATAAATTCGCCAGATTGTCAGAAGACGATGACCTAGAAATAAATCAACCACACGCAATAGAGGAACTACTCCATGTATTAAACAATCGAAAAAAACGTACAGCCCCTGGTCTAAACCTAATCTCATACCAAATAATTAAACTAATTAAACTACCCACAAATATTCTTGAATCACTTCTTAAACTATACAATCTCATCTACCAAAACGGTCAGGTTCCGACTTCATGGAAAGAGGTTTTGGTCATCCCAATACCAAAGCCAAACAAACCGGCAGACGAGGCAAATTCTTACAGACCAATCTCCCTAACCTCAAGTTTATGTAGAATCATGGAGAATCAAAAATAGGCTCCAACCACTATCTAGACCAAAACAATACAATAAACCAGGATCAAAGTGCATTCACCCCAGGCCGCTCAACCTTAGACAACCTCGCCCGCTTAGAACAAGACATTAAAACGGGCCAATTAAACAAACAATATACAGTAGGCATATTCCGAGATTTCTCTAAAGCTTTCGGTATGGCATAACGGACTAATACAAAAACTCCAAAAAGCAGGACTCAAGGGCCAATTAATGAACTATATTCAAGTCTTTCTAACTAATCGCAAAATATCCGTGGGAATCGACCAAACGCTATCCGACCAGTGTCCCCTAGAAAATGGCACACCCCAAGGCAGCATTCTAAGCCCAACACTTTTCAACATTATGATAAACGACTTATTCGAGGGATTATCAAATAAAGTTCAAACCTCTAAATACGCAGATGACGGAGCCCTCTGGATCCGCACTAGAAGCATAAATATTTTACAAACAAAATACAAATATGGGCAAATAAATGGGACTTCTCACTAAATGCCGAAAAAAACACAGGGATAGTTTTCAAACACACGAAAATATGCGGGTAAACACCCCCGAACTACAATTAAACAATAATCCTATAAATTTCCAAAAACAGACCACATTTCTAGGACTAATCTTTGATGAACATCTAAGCTGCGGTGCTCATATTACAAATTTAATAAATAGATGCAGTAAAGACCTAAATACACTACGCTGCCTGACAGGTAAAAATTGGGGGGGCTCAAAGTAGACCCTACTATCATTATACACATCATTAATTTGATCAAAAATAGACTATGGGTGCCTAATATACAATACCTTAAACACAATACTAAACGATAAACTAAACTCAATCCGTTACAGAGCACTTAAGATCACAACAGGGCACCTCGCTTACCTCACTGCAGGCCCTAACAGGCGAAACCCCACTTGATTTACGCCGAGAACAGTTAACAATAAATTTCTGGGCCTCAACCCAACACAACACCCAAATCCAACACAACTTTTAAAAAACAATATAAGCCTAAAACACTAAACACTAGCACTGAAAAACCCATTATTTACACCAGTCTCTCAACGCACACTCAACTACTTAAACATACACAACCTAAACGATTTAAAACTAAACACAAAACCAAACACAATATTCACACCCAAACTATAAATCCCCAATATAGACACAACGCTCTCCTCCATACTAAACAAAGAAATCGACCCTAATACCGCTAAAGCCATCACACTATCATACATACATGAAAAATGGCCAAATTGGTGTCACATCTTTACAGACGGGTCCTCCGACCCGACCCCGAAACACACAGGATTCGGCGTCCATGTACATCAACCCACAAAAGAAAATAAATGCTATAGGTTCCCAAATAATCAATCAATTTTCATTTCTACATAACCCCCAAATTAAAAAACAACAAACAACCCTGATCCTTACTCACTCACTAAGTGGACTCCAAGCTATTAAAAACACAAACACAAAAATTCGAACTAAACTAATTCAACAGATACTCAAAAGCTCCAACAAGCTCCGCAATCTAGGTAAAGAAATAGAATTCGTATGGAGCCCTGCCTACGTCGGAATGTTTGGTAACGAACACGCCGATAAAGCAGCCAAAGCATCAGTAAAACTTGAAGAAATAAGCATCAACCTTCCAATACCTGAAAACGAGATTAAAAGTATCACTAAGAGTAAAATCCTCCAAAAGTGGCAAAACCAATATCAGAAATCAAACTGTAAATTAAAACAGGTGATCCTAAAGCCACTCAAAAAACCAAAAGATCATCATAAATCCAAAACAATCGACAGGGCAATAAGCAAATTACAGACAGGGTACACTAAACTAAACTCTCACCTACACAGAATCAGAAAAAAAACCCCAGGTAAATGTCCTCACTGTAACCAAATAGAGTGAGTGAGTGAGTGAGTGAGTTTGGTTTAACGCCGCTTTTAACAGTATTACAGTTATATCAAGGAGTGTCAGCTTAATGTGGAAGAAAAGCCCGAAGTGATGCAGGTCTCAGACGTTTACCACTTCGGTGACACCCACAAGCAAGGGTATGGTGCTGACAAACCTAGAAACATAATCGGGGCGAACCGGGATTCGAACCCACAGTCATAGGTTTCTGGCGTGCCCAAGGGACGCAACTCTGCACAACGAATCGCAGGGGCCTTGGACGACTGGGTCACCCGTGCCCCCGTAACCAAACAGAAACACCTGAACACGCACTATTACACTGCACACACCACCAACAACACAGAACAACCACAACATGTGATCATTCCTACCGTTCGGGTTTCAGAAAACGGCTTTCAAAGATATAGTTTCATCTGCATTGAAACGCTCATTAGCAAAAGCATAGTCTGACGTAGATTCGATACCGCTGGCGGACCAATCAGCATTAGAATGCTAAATGTCATAATAGAATACTTTGTATTGCATGTTGCATTTTTATCTGTATAAACCGTGCTCCGTAAACAATGATGTTGTTGTGGGTAGTTTTACACATGCATCACACAAGTATGAAAGTTTGGGGGAAATGTTTTCTGGCAGGGAAAGTGTCGGGAACTAAATTCGACGTACTGTACCTAGACTGTATTGTGGACATACGATGGACTCACAGACTGATAAGTCACTGACATCACTGTGAACAATAGAAGAAGCCAGTTGCACTTGGAGCCTCTTTTGCTTTACTGGCAATGACAGACGGGCATTATTCTTCACCCACAGGCAATCACATCCCAGCGGTCAATATGCCCCTGCTGCCCGGATGGGTGTAACTTAATAAGTGTATTAGATTTACATGTGTCCAAGACCATAACCCTCAACCCCTAATCACCAGCACGCGTTGAATAACCTCAACCAGAAACGGAAAAACGGTCCCAACCTCCATTGTCATAATCAATTTTTAAAAAACCGCTAAATTCCCTGAAGCCCCCAAACACATATCCTTCGGAGCCCACTCCAACTAAGAAGTCAAACCCTATATAAAGCAGGTTAAACAATGTTCAAAGTGCCTCAAATACAACCACACTGCCTCCCAATGCACATACCCAAATATAAATGTAAAAAATGCGCACAAACAGACTGCCCAGGGTCATGCACACCCTGGTGCATCCACTGCAAATCCATCCAACACACTTCACTTTCAAACCAATGCCCACACAGACACACACTCACCCAGCAGGCCAACAAACACATAAACATAGACACGGCTAAAATCCAAACACGAAAATTTGCTACACCCGCATCCAAACCACTCCTCCCTACACCACACCCAAACACCATCCTACAAACAAACACCACATCCATAACTGACAGCTCTGTCCGGGGCCCCTACCGAGAAACCGCACCCACCTCACACACACAAGCAGCCACTCAACCAACCACGAACCCTCCCATATCTCGAATAGCCAAAACATCAACCCCCGCATGCAAAACAAACCACAAAACGACCGCCACAACACGACCCACATCCAAGCACCCTACAGCCCACATGGCAACAACACTCCCCCACAAGCAAGCACAACAACAAAACACAAACACTAAGAAATCATCAGCTACACCCATCCCGAAAACACCTACACAACCCTCCACATCACATGCCTCCCCCATGGAAACAGCTAAACCTAATTTAACCGATGACGAAGATTTCTCCACTACTGAGGAAACAATAGAAACTACTCCAACTAAAACAAACCAAACTTCCCAACCAGCCAACACCCAAAACCTAAATAACCTCACCTTACTCCTAGCATACATGCATAGTCAAAACTCACCAAAAGTTAGCATGAAATCATTCCACAAAGTAGCTTTCAATCTTAACTTAACCAATCTACCCTTCTTCCTCTTAAACCTCCGTCTAAACGAAGTGACCGAATAAAATAAAAACTTAAAACTAAATCACCAATCAACAGAACCCAATAATGGAAGGACTAAATATTTTTCAGTGGAACGCCAACGGACTCACCTCCCACGGCCATGAACTAAAAACTAAATTTAAACTAAATAAAGGCCCTCACATTGCTTGTATCCAGGAAACCAAATTCTCAAAAAAATCCAAATTTACACTACACCTAACTACAACTCAGTTAGAACTGACAGAGCAAAACCCAAAACAAGAAGAGCCGCAGGAGGAGCTAATCATATTTATCAGGGAAGATATAAATTACGAAGAAATAAAAATAGACACGCCAAACCTACAAGCCAACAGCATTAAAATCACATTAAATAACCGAAACATAAACATAATAAATATTTACCACTGGGCGGAACAAAAAGTCCAACCTGAGGATCTAAACAAACTACTCCAAATAAGCGATAAATCTACTATAATCCTAGGAGACTTTAACGCTCACCATCCTACATGGAGCATATAGATGATAAAATAGATAATCATGGCAAATTAATCTCCGAATGGATAGAAACAAACGATCTAGTACTCCTAAATAGCAATCAACCCACGAGGTACGATAAGATAAACCAAAAAATGTCAGCTATCGACTCAATGGGAAGTGCACGACGTCCCGCTAGGTAGTGACCACTTCCCCATAAACATAACTATAGGAAATACAAACGTACCAATCCAAACAGAAAACCAAGAACCAAAATTCCATTACAATAAGGCTAACTGGGACCAATTCCAAGATATCTGCAACGAAGCTAACTTAACGAAATAGAAAATAATGATCCAGAAACCTATTGTAAAAACCTAACAGACTATATAATAAACGCAGCCAAAACCTCCATCCCCTTCAAAACAGGCAAACTGACCGTACCATATGGAATGAGGAAATAGAAAAGACTAGAAGAAAACGTAAATCAGCCTTCAATAAAGCAAAACGCGACTACAAACATCTAAAGTTTGCCCACGATCTAAACCATCAGGTTCAAAAACTAGTCCAAATAGCCAAAAGTAGAGACTGGAAAAAATTCTGCGAAGGTATAAATAACTGCACAGATGCCAAAACGGTCTGGTGGCGCAAAATCCACGCCATTAGAGGCTTAAAACGACATAAAAAAACCTAGCATTAACAACTCAATCAACCCCGCCCAAAAAGCAAATCATCTCGCCAACCACTTTTCGGCCGTTAGAAGTAACAACAACTTCAGCCAAAAATTCCAAGACAAACTTAAAACAGAAAACAAACACACAAAAGAACCAAACAATAACAATCTGGAAATAAACCAACCCTACACAATGGAGGAGCTCTTCTATGTAATCCAAAACAGGAAAAAGGGCACAGCCCCAGGATTAGAAATCTCCCCCTAAAACTACTCCAGGCACTACTCAAACTATACAATCTCATCTACCTAAACGGACAGGTTCCTACTCCCTGGAAACAGGCCCTAGTCATACAAATCCCTAAACCTAATAAAACAGCTAATCAAGCTTACTCATATAGACCAATATCCCTAACTTCAAACTTATTTAAAGTAATGGAATCAATGGCTAAAAATAGATTACAACATTACCTAACCCAAAATAACATCATAAACCCAGATCAAAGCGGCTTCACTCCTGGCCGCTCAACCCTAGATAACCTCGCCCAACTAGAGCAATATATTAAGACAGGACAACTAAATAAACAATATACCACAGGCATCTTCTTAGACTTCTCTAAAGCTTTCGACATGGTATGGCACGACGGGCTAATACAAAAACTTAAAAAAATAGGACTCAAAGGTCAGATAATAAACTACATCCAGGACTTCCTAAACAATCGTAAAATAACCGTGGGTATAGACCAAACACTATCGGACCAGTGTCCCCTAGAAAATGGCACACCCCAGGGCAGTATCCTCAGCCCCACCCTCTTCAATATAATGATAAACGATCTATTCGAGGGCCTATCCCCTAAAGTAAACACATCAAAATTCGCGGCAGATGAACCCCCCGGATCCGCACTAAAAGCATTAAAATGGCCCAAACTTTACTCCCAAAATCTCTTAATAAAATACAACAATGGGCTGACAAAGGGGGCTTCTCCCTTAACTCAGGAATAGGAATAGTATTCAAACATAAAAACATGAAACCCGCCTCCCCAATCCTCCAGCTAAACATCCAAACAATCAAATTTCAAACCAAACCAAATTCTTAGGATTTATTTTCGATGAACATCTCACCTGGGATGCTCACATCCAAAACCTAACAACTAAATGCAGTAAAGACCTAAACACGCTAAGATGCCTAACTGGCTCTAACTGGGGAGCCTCCAAAGATACCCTCCTCTCTCTCTCTACATATCACTAAATAGATCAGAACTAGACTACGGCTGCGCCATATACAACACCCTAAACAACTCTCTATCTAAAAAACTTGACTCAATACAATATCAGGCTCTCAAACTAATTACACGCACCCAACATGGCACCTCCTACACTTCACCTGGGCCGCGTCCCAATCAAACCCTCTCATCCAAAACTTAATAAACCAAAATATCAGCCCCCAAAACCAAGCTCTAGCTCGTAAACACCCCTTACTTACCCCAATATCCCAAAGAATAACTTGTTTGATAGGCATTACTTAGAAGTTGGCGGAGGGTTGCACACACCACTTTCGCCCATTTCGGAAACACATTAAATGGCCTGGCCGGGCCCGTGTGCGAAATACGCATCAGTCGGAAAGCGCACGTTAAATCTCCAAAGTAAGTAAGTAAGTTTACATGTGTCGGCGATTCCCACAGTTTCCGTAGTTAGTGTAACTACTTTCCTACAAGTGACCAACATGTATAACGGGTCATGCTGACATGTAGATGTCTTATATAATAGATTTGAATGCTACAGGTTTGTTGTAGACACTACACCAACTAAGATACATTGTAAGTGATCCGTTCGATTAGGTTGTCGAGTGACAACATAATGCTAACGATATATTCACCTCAATCCACGGAGCTGCATCGTCCGACCTTGGCTTCCAGACAGAGTAAGAATCTCCAATGACATTGCTTAATGGATACCTGAAATATTACAAGTCATACAGTGACCCTTTCCATATAAATAAGGTGAAAATAAACTTTGCTTTTCATTTACGAATGGATGAGAGAATACATATATTAATGTCATCACTACCATTCCAATAGTATATCAGTGTTAAAATAGGTAGCTCACCTGGATACACGAGTCTCTGTGTACCTGTACTTCGTGTATCTGTATGTGTTTGTGTGGTACTTGACATATAAGTTCTATTTCTATCAGTATTGTATTGCGAAAAAGGGCATAAAATGTTGATCATGAAATGTAACAAATGTGTTACATCTATAGGGTTTGGGCTATGTTTTGGACAATCAAGAGATAATTACCCAAGGTTCTATGTAATGGAGAAAACACGACTCAGAGGTTTTGGTAGAGAATGTAAAACCTCCGGAGGAGGGATTTCCCGACTCAGAGGTTTAACATTCTCTACCAAAACCGAGGAGGAGTGTTTAATCCGGCTTAGAAACCGTTAAACGTTTAGAATTACTGTAAATTTAATTGTCTCCCATTTAGGGCACTATAACGGGGATTTACTACCTCGCTATTGCCAGGATAAGCGCATAGAAAGAACTCGAACCGTGCACGTGGGATACATGCGGTAAGAACACGTGGTTGTCTTTCTCAGTTGAGTTCGAGATGTCGAGCGAGGAGGAAGGCGGAGACCTATTTCTGGAAGTAAGCGAGCAGCAGATTTGCGAACAAACTGGTAAGTTTAGTTCAATGTATAGGACAGTCCTTTACCAATATTTTATGATTATCACTGTTTCGAATATTATCTGTGAATAAAATGAAACGCCCTTAACAAGCGTATAGAAATGGTTAATTTTTACTATAAAAATGTATTTTGATGTAGCCATATTTTCTTAAGTGGCTTAATGCTTTATAGATGTTTAGAACATACGGTTGTATACTTTGTTGTAATTAACTATAACATATTTTTTAGGGCACCGGAGTGGTGCTGTCCGCATCTACAAACGCACCAGCGACGATGTAAAGTCCAAGGCTGGAAGGTCTATCCCAAAAAGGGTCTCTCTACTTTACATTTAACTTTCATTAAAGGATGTTACTGGCTGTTGTTTTCTGTTGTCTTTGTGCAGAAGTCCGGGTATGTGCCTTTAAGTAAGACCCTGTGAAATCAGTGTGTATCGGGAATGTATTTTTTTCAGTGGCGAGACCTGGTACGGAGGTCTTACCTTTTTACAAAGACCCTGGGATGAGGTTTTACTAAATTTACAAAAATCTCACCCCAGGGTTTTGGTCAAAATGTAAAACCTCTTCCCAGGTTTTACCATTGGCAGAAAACACATCTTTTCATAATGGCGATACCCACATAATAGGTTTCTAATGTAGGTTTTAGTCAGAGATGAATTGATATTGACAATCACAGTCAAAGTCAAAGACGTTTATTGTATCAAAGGCCATCAGATAAATACAGTGGGTGAGAATTTACAGATTGGGAGATACAACAAAAGTTATAAAAATCTAACATTCATTTAACAATCGGTGATAATCATGAGGACTTCTAGGTAAGGTAATTAAAATTCTGAATTTCCACTCAACATGTTATTTCGTAGTTCCATCCAATGTTTTACAAATAAAGACAGTGTTAACATTACATCGGCATCATTCGATGACAAAATAGAAACAAACGCTATTCTACTCGTCTTAGATAAGAAACATTCTGGTATATATTTAGTACGTAGTTCTGCATAATAAGTACATTCAAAGGTAAAATGTATTTCGTCTTCTATAGCAGAGTTACAGAATGGACAAATTCTTTGTATTCTTTCAATTGATATATTCCGTCCATAATTAATCATAAGTTTTGACAAGCCAAGTCTGTAATGCCAATCAAGTAAGGTGCAATAACATATTCTCATTTCCAAAATTGGATTACAATAGTGTGGTTTATGTGTTACATATGAAATGTATTTATCTTGTGTAGGATAGTATCGCTTATATCGCATCGCTTTAAGTCAGTTTCGGTGCTCAAGTCCCACTCTTATCATTGAATTTGGTAGACGAATAGAACAGTGAAGACTTCGTTCTTTTTTGCATATGTCATTTCTGTTCACTCTGAGAATCCTTCACACAATACATTTATATGACCATGTACATCATCAAGATCACGTGTAATAAACTCTGTGGCTAAATATATATTTTAAACAACGATAAAGCATCTTGACTGTCATGTACGACCATCGTTCGTTCGTTCGTTCGTTCGGGAATTTAACGTGCGCTTTCCGCATGTAATAAATTACATTTAGCGTATCTCGCACACGGGGTAGGGGAGGGGAGGGGGTCAAGCGTTGGAAGGCACGGCGTGGCTCGCGAGCTGGTGTGGCGAAGGAGGTTACTGCTTCTTCACAGCCAGGAGCCTCCTGGCTAGGTCGAGCTCTCCTGGAGGAAGAGCTCGGAACAGTGCGGTGGTGAGGCGGGCGGCGGCGTTGGTAATGAAGAGCGGGCTGACTGGGAGCTCACAGTCGACCAGGAGCTCCGAGAGATCCTGGTAGCTGTGGATCTCGTGCTCAAACCTTTCTTCACCCCAGTACTGCACCAGCACCAAGGGTGGGCGTTGGCGGTTGCTGGGGTAAATCTTGCCGCTCTCATTCTGGTAGCAGGGGTTAGGGTGGACCTTGTGCTGCTCCAGGATTAGGTCTGCCTGCTGTGCAAGGTGGGCACGGACGTCTACCTCAACATCTTGTTCCGGAACCGGGTCGGTTTGGACTTGGCTGGTGTTGAGGGAGGGTCCTGGTGTTGTGGCGGTCTGCGTTTTCGTGGTCTTGCAGGTTGGAGGTGATGGGAGGGGGGGAGAGTCAGGGGAGAAGATGCTTTTCCTCTTTCTCTTTTTCCTCCCGTGGCCAGTCCCTACCGGCGTGCGAAAGGGCTCCTCCCCTCTGGATTCGAGAGGAGCGAGTTCCAGTGCAGATGTCGGGGGCGGAGGGGTGGTGGGAAGGCTCTCCTGGATCTCCATGGGGGTGATTGGTGGAGCCTTTTCCTTTGGCCTAGGTCGATGGAGAGGGTGGATGAGTTGGACTTGTATGAAGTCCTGAGGGAGTAGTCCCCAACCCTGTAAGCCAGCAAGGGCTCCAGGATTGCAACTAGCTCTCTAGGTAGCGATAGGGCGATATCTCTCATGGTAGAGCGTGGGTTGCGAGCTAGGAAGGACACGTCTGCAAGGGGCGAGTGTCCAAGCCGAGGTGTACGACCATCATGCTTATGTTACCATATATTGTTACGGTGCTCCAATGTAATTCCTTGTGATATGTACTTTGTACAATGACCTGTGGCACCTTTCCCGAATACAGTTTAACACATTTCGCTTGACATTCACCTTCAGTTTGGACAATATATAAAATGTTGTTTTTGGCAGCACGTGACAATACCCCCACGACACTGGGCATCACGTTACAATAGCCCCACATCACTGGGCAGCATGTGACAATACCCCTACGTCACTGGGCAGCACGTTACAATAGCCCCACGTCACTGGGCAGCAGGTGACAATACCCCCACGTCACTGGGCAGCATGTGACAATACCAAAACGTCACTGGGCAGCACGTTACAATAGCCCCACGTCACTGGGCAGCAGGTGACAATACCCCCACGTCACTGGGCATCACGTTACAATAGCCCCACATCACTGGGCAGCATGTGACAATACCCCCACGTCACTGGGCAGCACGTTACAATAGCCCCACGTCACTGGGCAGCAGGTGACACAACCCCCACGTCACTGGGCAAAGCGTGACAATAGCCCCGCGTCACTGGGCAGCATGTTACAATACCCAACGTGACAGGGCAGTACGTGAATATACCCCCACGTCACTGGGGAAAGCGTGACAATATCCGCATGACACTGTGCGACCCGTGACAATATCTCCATGTCTCTGTGCGACCCGTGACAATATCCCCATGTCACTGGGCGACCCGTGACAATATCTCCATGTCAATGTGCGACCCATGACAATATCCCCATGTCACTGTGCCACCAGCGACAATATCTCCATGTCACTGTGCCACCCACGACAATATCCCCATGTTACTGTGCGACCCGTTACAATATCCCCATGTCACTGTGCGACCCGTGACCATATCTCCACGTCCCTGCATCACCTACGACAATATCCCCATGTCACTGTTCCACCAACGACAATATCCCCTTGTCACTGTGCGACCCGTGAAAATATCTCCACGTCACTGTGCGACCCATGGTAATATCCCCATGTCACTGTGCCACCCACGACAATATCTCCATGTCACTGTGCGGCCCGTGACAATATCTCCATGTCACTGTGCGACCCGTGACAATATCTCCAGGTCACTGTGCGACCCATGACAATATCCCATTTCACTGTGCCACCCACGACAATATCTCCACGTCACTGTGCCACCCACGACAATATCCCCACGTCACTGTGCCACCCACGACAATATCTCCACGTCACTGTGCTACCCGAGACAATATCCCACGTCACTGTGCCACCCACGACAATATCCCCACGTCACTGTGCCACCCACGACAATATCTCCATGTCACTGTGCCACCCACGACAATATCTCCACGTCCCTGCATCACCCACGACAATATACCCACGTCACTGTGCAACCCACGACAATATCCCCACGTCACTGTGCCACCCACGACAATATCTCCATGTCACTGTGCGACCCGTGACAATATCTCCATGTCACTGTGCGACCCGTGACAATATCTCCAGGTCACTGTGCGACCCATGACAATATCCCCATGTCACTGTGCCACCCACTACGATATTTCCACGTCACTGTGCCACCCACGACAATATCCCCACGTCACTGTGCCACCCGAGACAATATCCCACGTCACTGTGCCACCCACGACAATATCCCCACGTCACTGTGCCACCCACGACAATATCTCCATGTCACTGTGCCACCCACGACAATATCTCCACGTCCCTGCATCACCCACGACAATATCCCCACGTCACTGCCACCCACGACAATATCCCCACGTCACTGTGCCACCCACGACAATATCACCATGTCACTGTGCCACCAGCGACAATATCTCCATGTCACTGTGCCACCCACGAAAATATCCCTATGTCACTGTGCCACCCACGACAATATCCCCACGTCACTGTGCCACCCACGACAATATCTCCACGTCCCTGCATCACCCACGACAATATCCCCACGTCACTGTGCTACCCACGACAATATCTCCACGTCACTGTGCCACCCACGACAATATCTCCATGTCACTGTGCCACCCACGACAATATCCCCATGTCACTGTGCCACCCACGACAATATCTCCACGTCCCTGCATCACCCACGACAATATCCCTACGTCACTGTGCCACCCACGACAATATCTCCACGTCACTGTGCCACCCACGACAATATCTCCATGTCACTGTGCCACCCACGACAATATCTCCACGTCCCTGTGCCACCCACGACAATATCTCCATGTCACTGTGCCACCCACGACAATATCTCCCACGTCACTGTGCCATCCACGACAATATCACCACGTCACTGTGCCACCCAGGACAATATCTCCATGTCACTGTGCCACCCACGACAATATCTCCAGGTCCCTGCGTCACCCACGACAATATCCCCACGTCACTGTGCCACCCATGACAATATCCCCACGTCACTGTGCAACCATCGACAATATCCCCACGTCACTGTGCCACCCACGACAATATCTCCATGTCACTGTGCCACCCACGACAATATCTCCATGTCACTGTGCCACCCATGACAATATCCCCACGTCACTGTGCCATCCACGACAATATCCCCACGTCACTGTGCTACCCACGACAATATCTCCACGTCCCTGCATCACCCACGACAATATCTCCACGTCACTGTGCCACCCACGACAATATCTCCATGTCACTGTGCCACCCACGACAATATCCCCATGTCACTGTGCCACCCACGACAATATCTCCACGTCACTGTGCCACCCACGACAATATCTCCATGTCACTGTGCCACCCACGACAATATCTCCACGTCACTGTGCCACCCACGACAATATCCCCACGTCACTGTGCCACCCACGACAATATATCCATGTCACTGTGCCACCCACGACAATATCCCCACGTCACTGTGCCACCCACGACAATATCTCCACGTCACTGTGCCACCCACGAAAATATCTCCATGTCACTGTGCCACCCATGACAATATCCCCATGTCACTGTGCCACCCACGAAAATATCTCCATGTCACTGGGCGACCCGTGACAATATCCTCACGTCACTGTGCCACCCACGACAATATCTCCATGTCACTGTGCCACCAACGACAATATCCCCATGTCACTGTGCGATCCGTGACAATATCTCCACGTCACTGTGCCGCCATTGACAACGGTCGCATGTCATCGTGTTGCCACGACAATATCTCCCGTCATTGTTCCGCCAGTGTCATCAGTATCCTTCTTCACGGTGTCTCTTTTGAACGAAACCTGTGTCCTAAAATTGACATTGTTCAATCAGCTGTGATAAAACCGTTTCACTGGGCAGAACTCGCATGCTCTGGTGATATATCGACTTTGTGGATTGTACGTGATTAGACATCAACATTCAGTGGTCACATTTCACTTTTCTCTTCATAGTCATTTGGCCAGGGGTGAAAAACAAGATTTTCGTTCCCACATTTTCCTTTATACCTTAAACCTTTTCTATTGCATAAAAAAGGTATCTGTACACACTTTTCATTGGGTAGTAAGTTTGCAAGTGTGTGCGTGAATTCTCACGGAGTCAAAATTGCATAAATTGAAGGAAAAATGCATAATTTGACAACATTTGCTGTAACATTTTTCTAAAGTCGTTAAACTTTATGAATTTGGCAAGCAGTTTGTTTAATTTAACTGTTATTCTAATTTTCAGTGAAAACATTGATAAAAATCATGGTTTTTTCCTTCTTTTCCAAATCTTGTGGGTAGGTAAAACACTAATCCCATTGAATGGTGACAATAAAACTACTATTGTGTCGCCAGTGTTGTCAATATCCTTCACCATGTTGGGGTTGAACGAACTTTGGGTCCTATAATTTGAGGTCTCGCTGACAAATAAGCTCCTTTTATCGTTTATTTAGAGATAATGACAGATTTTAGTATCCATACAATTAGATAAGCAATTTCATAATAAGACGTACGAAACATTTATATGTTTAATGATTCCACGCGCTTTGATGTATTGTTGACTTCGTAAGGCAAGTAGTATTGTTGACGCAATACAGACGTCACAAAGTCATAAGATGGGTGAATCAACGTGTTGGAACCCTGATCGGAATATTTTAAATAATGGCATAATTCATAAATCCGACATGTTGTTCTGATACTAATCTAGCGGGGATGAAAAAAACGTACCCAATGTCTTGTGAAGAAGCGTTGATCGCCTCTGTCATCCACTTTCGAATCAGACCTGTGAAAGAAACAGGAGCGATGTTACTACAAATTACAAATAGTTCAACGTGGAGCATGTTTTAGAAGATATAGACACATGTATATAAATGTCAAAATATCATTATTAATAATCTAGGGTTCAAAATAAGCTTGTTAATTAGACCACATTTTTATTAATTTATTATTTCACGTGAGAAGCGGTATTGTTCTCGCTTTGCCAATTCCGTTTGTGACGTGACACATATCCGTTTGTGACGTGACACATGTACATTCATATTCGTTTGTGACGTGACACATATATATCAGTTTGTGACGTGACACATTCATATTCGCTTGTGACGTGACACATACATATCAGTTTGTAACGTGACACATTCATATTCGTTTGTGACGTGACACATACATATCAGTTTGTGACGTGACACATTCATATACGTTTGTGACGTGACACATACATATTATATAGAATACTTAAAGAGCTCCCTTGTAATACCAATTTTATGAAACGAGTAAACTGTTCTGGCATCTGCAGAGCGAAAGTTCGTCTATGAAGCTATAAAACCATGAAAGGAGTTTCATAAAATTGGTATCGCACGGCAGCTAGTTAGGTATTTTATTTATTACTTGCCGTCTATTACCTTTCAAAAAGCTACCGTCGTGTGTAAATAGGCGGCAGATATCTACGCGACGCACAGCATCACCCAATTGAGTTAAACGAAATATTACTTCAAACACATTCAAAGTTGACATGTATTAATTGAATACCATACAACGGTCTACCTTTCGACTTCAGGGGTCCGTTCCACAAAGCTATCCTAACGCTGAGATGATTGTAACTCCCGTACTTTAACATAAACTTATGACTGTCGCTGCGCTACGATCGCTTTGTGGAACGGGACCCTGCAGCACAAAGTTTACAAATACGTCAGTATACCCTATGACGTAATTTGTGACATTCTTTTACTTAATAAATTGATTACATAAGTAAGTATTTTGAAATAAATTATTTGTAATAACAAGTGTAAACGTAAGTTATTACATTTTATAATGACCATCAAGATACATATAATTAATTCCAAACTGTCATTCGTATTGTAACATAATCTTTTGAAAATTCTCAATGAATCCGTACTTCGACATAAATATCATATGTCTATCGCCGTTAGGATATGTACTTTCCAATGATATGAATTATTGGACATTTTGATATCAAACAAGGGCGCTTGTTTGATTTTACTTGCTACATTCGGGTGCTTCCATATCGCGATGAATGAAAAAAAGTAGGAAACTGAGAATACCAGCACTTCTATCGATGGCTATGCAGTGCATTGATCTTTGGATTTGTTGACTTTAGATGCTGTTCGAAAGTGAGTGAGTGAGTGAGTATGGTTTTACGCAGCTTTTAGCAATATTCCAGCAATATCACGACGGGGGACACCAGAAATGGGCTTCACACATTGTACCCATGTTGGAAAGACAATCAACTAGAGTTGAATGTTATAATACAATTTGGTTACACTGTGTGAAGAAATAAGAACGTTGTAACACTTTTGATGCAATGTATACGGTTTTGAAACCGCGACGTCATCTTAGTGCGGTTTTGAGCGGAACAAGGGGCAATACTGACGGCCAGGCACCATGAGGGTTAAGTGAGAACAAGGGGCTGTAATGGCGGCAAGGCACCATGGGGGTTTAGTGAGAACAAGGGGCAGTAATGACGGCCAGGCACCATAATGGTTAAGTGAGAAGAAGGGGCAGTAATGACAGCCAGGCATCATGAGGGTTAAGTGAGAAAGAGGGGCAGTACTGACGGCCAGGCACCATGAGGGTTAAGTGAGAACAAGGGTCAGTAATGACGGCCAGGCACCATGAAGATTAAGTGCAAACAAGGGGAAGTAATGACAGCCAGGCACCGTGAGGGTTAAGTAAGAACGAGGGGCAGTAATGACGGCCAGGAAACATGAGGGTTAAGTGAGAACAAGGGGCAGTAATGACGGCCAGGCACCATAAAGGTTAAGTGAGAAGAAGGGGCAGTAATGACAGCCAGGCACCATGAGGTTTAACTGAGAACAAGGGGCAGTAATGACGGCCAGGCACCATGAGGGTTAAGTGAGAAGAAGGGGTTTTTATGACGGCCAGGCACCATGTGGGTTAAATGAGAAGAAGGGCAGTAATGACAGCCACGCACCTTCAGGGTTAAGTGAGAACAAGGGGCAATAATGGCGGCCAGGCACCATGAGAGTTAAATGAGAACAAGAGGCAGTAATGACGGCCAGCCACCTTGGGGGTTAAGTGAGAACAAGGGGCGGTAATGACGGCCAGGCACCATGAGGGTTAAGTGAGAACAAGGGCAGTAATGACGGGCAGGTACCATGATGGTTAAGTGAGAACAAGGTGCAGTAATGACGTCTAGGCACCATGAGGGTTAAGTGAGAACGAAGGGGCAGTAATGACGGCCAGGCACCATGATGGTTAAGTGAAAACAAGGGCAGAAATGACGGCCAGGCACCTTGAGGGTTAAGTGAGAACAAGGGACAGTAATGACAGCCAGGCACCATGAGGGTTAAATGAGAACAAGGGGCAGTAATGACGGCCAGTCACCATGAGGATTAAGTGAGAACAAGAGGCAGTTATGACGGCCAGGCACCATGAGGGTTAAGTGAGAACAAGGGGCAGTAATGACGGCCAGGCACCATGAGGATTAAGTGAGAACAAGGGGCAGTAATGACGTCCATTCACCAAGAGGGTTAAGTGAGAACAAGAGCAGTAAAGACAGCCATTCACCATGAGTGTTAAGTGAGAACAAGGGGCGGTAATGACGGCCAGGGACCGAGAGTGATAAGTGAGAACAAGGGGCAGTAATGACTGTAAGGCACTATGAGGGTTAAGTGAGAACAAGGGGCGGTAATGACGACCAGGCACCATGTGGGTTAAGTGAGAACAAGGGGCAGTAATGACGTCTAGGCACCATGAGGGTTAAGTGAGAACGAAGGGGCAGTAATGACGGCCAGGCACCATGATGGTTAAGTGAAAACAAGAGCAGAAATGACGGCCAGGCACCTTGAGGGTTAAGTGAGAACAAGGGACAGTAATGACAGCCAGGCACCATGAGGGTTAAATGAGAACAAGGGGCAGTAATGACGGCCAGTCACCATGAGGATTAAGTGAGAACAAGAGGCAGTAATGACGGCCAGGCACCATGAGGGTTAAGTGAGAACAAGGGGCAGTAATGACGGCCAGGCACCATGAGGATTAAGTGAGAACAAGGGGCAGTAATGACGTCCATTAACCAAGAGGGTTAACTGAGAACAAGAGCAGTAAAGACAGCCATTCACCATGAGTGTTAAGTGAGAACAAGGGGCGGTAATGACGGCCAGGGACCGAGAGTGATAAGTGAGAACAAGGGGCAGTAATGACTGTAAGGCACTATGAGGGTTAAGTGAGAACAAGGGGCGGTAATGACGACCAGGCACCATGTGGGTTAAGTGAGAACAACGGACAGTAATTACGACCAGGCCCCATGAGGGTTAAGTGAGAACAAGGGTCGGTAATGACGGGCAAGCACCATGAGGGTTAATGGAGAACAAAGAGCAGAAAAGACGGCGAGGCACCATGAGGGTTCAGTGAGAACAAGGGGCAGACATGACGGCCAGGCACCATGAGGGTTCAGTGAGAACAAGGGGCAGTAGTGACGGCCAGCCACCATGATGGTTAAGTGAGAACAAGTGGTTTTCATGACGGCCAGGCACCATGGGGGTTAAGTGACAAGAAGGGCAAGTAATGACAGCCAGGCACCATGATGGTTAAGTGAGAACAAGGGTCAGTAATGACGGCCAGGCACAATGACGGCTAAGTGATAACAAGGGGCAGTAATGACGTCCAGGCACCATTAGGGTTAAGTGAGAACAAAGGGCAGTAATGACGTCCAGGAACCTTGAGAGTTAAGTGAGAACAAGGGGCGGAATGACGGCAAAGCACCTTGAGGGTTAAGTGAGAACAAGGGTCAGAAATGGCGGCGAGGCAACTTGGGGGTTAAGTGAGAACAAAGGGCAGTAATGACAGCCAAGCACCATGAGGTATAAGTGAGAACAAGGGACAGTAATTACGACCAGGCACCATGAGGGTTAAGTGAGAACAAGGGACAGTAATTAAGAACAGGCACCATGAGGGTTAAATGAGAACAAGGGGCAGAAATGACGGCCAGGCACCATGAGGGTTAAGTGAGAACAAGGGGCGGTAATGACTGGGAACCACCATGAGGGTTAAGTGAGAACAAAGGTCGGTAATGACGGCCAGGCACCTTGTAGGTTAAGTGAGAACAAGAGCCAGTAATGACTACCAGGCACCTTGAGGGATTAAGTTGGAACTAGGGGCAGTAATGACGTCCAGGCACCTTGAGAGTTAAATGAGAACAAGGGGCGGAATGACGGGCAAGCACCATGAGGGTTGATTGAGAAAAAGGGTCAGAAATGACGGCGAAGCACCATGAGGGTTAATTGAGAACGAGGGGCAGTAATGACGTCCAGGCACCTTGAGGGTTAAGTGGGAACGAGGGGGAGTAATGACGTCCAGGCACCTTGAGAGTTGAGTGAGAACAAGGGGCGGAATGACGGGCAAGCACCATGAGGGTTAATTGAGAAAAAGGGTCAGAAATGACGGCGAGGCAACTTCGGGGTTAAGTGAGAACAAGGGGCAGTAATGACGGCCAGGCACCATGATGGTTAAGGGAGAACAAGGGGCAGAGATGACGCGAGGCACCATGATGGTTAAGTGAGAACAAGGGCAGTAATGACGGCCAGGCACCATGAGGGTTACGTGAGAAGAAGGGGCAGAGATAACGGCCAGGCACCATGAGGGTTAAGTGAGAACAAGGGGCAGTAGTGACGGCCAGGCACCATGATGGTTAAGTGAGAATAAGGGGCAGAGATGACGGCCAGGCAACATGAGGGTTAAGTGAGAACAAGGAACAGTAATTACGATCAGGCACCATGAGGGTTAAGTGAGAACAAGGGACAGTAA